AGCGGCTCTGAGCCTTCGCTTTTAAGCGTCTCCAACTGGGGTTTTGGCGCCTGAAAACCACCCCCCTTGTAACCCTCGTGATTCTCCGGGGGTCGCCCCATCCTACCTCCACCTCCCGCCTGGATGCCGGTGATAGTCATCAGGATGGCGGCCAACGCGGTGTCAAGTCGTTCGAACCAGAATTTGAGGTCCCTTTTCCTCTGCACCATGGCGTACGTCCCATCTCGTGAACCCTATGTCGAGCTCGATCGTGGTAGACGATGCTTCTGTCATGTCTCTCAACGAGAGCACCTTGATATGAAAAAAGAACGAAGGGTTTCGAGTGCCTTCGAACTCCAATTAGGTTTAGGGTTTGATTATTATTCCATAAAAAATGCGTGAAGTACATCCTGTATTTATAGGTTGGAGAGAAACCCCAATCCTACTAAAACTAGGTTTTTTATCCTGACGGTTCAAAGAAAAGCGACGAGGTAAAAAAACCGTAAAGAAACCTCAATGAGCTTATAATTCCGCTCTCCTTAGAAAAATCTATTACACAAAAAAAACCATCCCATTGCATTTCTGATTTCTCACGTCAAAAGTCAATCTCATGAGGCACAAATTAAATACTCCCTCCGTCCCGTGAAACATGGGACTTTTGCTTTTTATGAGTGATTTAAGGGTAGTGTATTTTGGTATTGAATTTCCAAAAATGTCCTTTGATGTGATGGGTAAAAGTATGATTTGATGGATAGATTATTAGTAAAAAGGTATGATGTGATAGGTAGGGTATGCAAAAGTAAAGGGTAAAAGTGACTTTTTAATAGAAATGAGAAGTGTTTTGTGGGACGGATGAAAAAAAAGGAGAAAGGTTTTATGGGACGGAGGGAGTATATATATTCCTAAACATTATTGCAAATACTCAATGACAAAGGTATGTGGTGGCTAGTATTCAAATTTTCAAAATAACTAAACATTATTGTTACATGGAATATTCAAGGTGATATGTGTAGTTACATGCACGGATGCTGCGTGCGTGCTCATAATGATACAAACGATTTATAAATTCAACAAAGGAGCATTAAAAATATTGGAGAAAGAAATATGCACGAAAATAGGAAAGATGCTTGTGCAGCGGGAGATGAATTAGCCTTAAAATCAGTTTGTGAGGGATTGAGTATTGGTGAAGACGACGACGTTCTCGGAGGTTGCGTAGGTGCTTCAGTATTTGGCGGCGGCGGCGGAAAGGATACCGAAGGTGGAGGTGATTCAAAGGCTGGCGGCGATGCTGATGCTGCTGGAACTGCAACCAAATCATTTGAAACTAATTACCGAGTATAATACTCCCTCCGTCCCTTTGACTTTTTGAAAATTAAGGGAGAGATATTTTGGTATTGACTATCCAAAAATACCCTTGATGTGATGGGTAAAAGTAGGATGTGATGGGTAGATTATTAGAGAAAAGGTATGATGTGATATGTAGGGTATGAAAAAGTAAGGGGTAAAAGTGGTTTTTTAGTAGAAATGTAACGGACTTTACGGGACGCAGTTTTTTCTAAAGGTAACAAACTTTTTGGGACGGAGGGAGTAATTAAGACACCCACAGACCCACTATTATCTTTTTTTAGTACCACCCATGCTTTATTTAATGGATAATTTACCTAAATAGAACTATAATATAATTACTTTATCAAAATACGACCATATATTTTCATTTCTCAATGTAGGACCATTAGTCATTATCTATTAGTAATTATTCAACTAAATATCCAACATCACTTGGACATTATTCTTCTCACTAGTCATTATTAAGTCCTATTTAATAAATAAAAAATTTTAAGTCCTGCATTGGAAAATAACTTATGTTCTAGTCATATTTAGTGCAAATTTCACTTATTTAATTTGGCCGAATGAGTTGATTGATGAAATGAGTAAGAAGTACAAAAATTAGGGGTGACGTGAAATTCGTTCCCGTTGGACCGTTCTGAAAAATCCCGGATCAGTTGTGTAATTGTACCGATATATTGGGACACTTTTTTTTCCCAAACCCATTCCATCCCAATATCAAATGGGACATGAGCGGGACAGCTTAAATTTATACCGATCCGTCCCGTTTCATCTACTAATATATAATACTAATTATAGTCCAAAATCCAAATACACTCATTCTTTAATTAATTAGTTATTTAACTAAGTTAACTTCATAGGTCATCTCCAATGGGATGCTCAAGTGAGATGCCTAGATGAGAGAGAATGAAATGTTAAGAGATGCTACCATTGTAGGTAGATGCTCAATAAAGATGCCCAATGAAGAAAGAAAAGGGAAGATGCTAGGTTGAGCACCGATGTTCCAACTTGAAATTACTACTTCCTTTAATTACTTTAATATAGTGCTCCAATAGTTTATGTGTCATGTGTCATTTTTATTATTTATTTATTTATTTCTTTCAATACACTTCTTTAATCCATTTTATCTTGTAATTTTTATATTAAAAAATTATAGAAATTATATATTAATAATCTATATGTTAAGACAAATTAAACAAGATCACACATGACTATATTTAGACTTACACATTGAGAGAATTTGATAAGTCAAAGTGCTTAGATGAGCAGTTCCAAAATTCAAAACTGGACGAATACTCCGGGACGGAGGGAGTAGCTTTTTCTTAGAATTAGATGGCAATTTTATCGTGTTCCAATTGCAATGACTTTTTAAAAAAAAAATTATTTTCCTATTCAGTATGACTATTGAGTGTTTTAATATAATTATACAAACCAATTGAGTATTGAGTGTTTTAATATAATTATAGAAACCAATTGAGTGTTTTAAAATAATTACACAAACAAACTGAGTGTTTTAAAATATAGTTTTTTTCATTTATTACCGTGGTGTGTTGTTAGCATTGTATTAATAAAAACTTTATTTATTTAATACTCCCTCCATACCTAAATATTTACACACTATTTAAAAATTGCAAGAACTTTTATTTATTTGTTTGTTTTTCTAGATTATTTGATTAAATAAAATATTCTTTTCACATCTTGTTTTATAGAACTTTTAATGTACTTTTTAAATATATAAATTTTATTTTTTATTTATATACCAATTTTTAAATAAAAAATTAAAGATTATTTTATTTATTTGGAAGTAGGACCCACTAAAATATGTAATACTCCCTCCGTCCCTAATTTGATTACAATTTTTTTCTCTCTCCTCTCGATAAATTTTGTTTGTTTACGTGATTTCATCAAATATTTGATAAAATAAAATATTCTTGTCACCTCTTATTTTGTAGAACTTTTGACGTAGTTTTTTAATATGTAATTTTTATAACTTATTGATATACCAATTTGTAAATAAAATAATTTCAAAAAGTAGAAAATTTTATTCCATAACCCGCAATTTGTAATCAAATTGGGGATGGAGGGAGTAGAACAAATGTTTAGACATCTAAATGAGATGCCACCATTGGACGAGTTGGATGTTAAGAGAGATGTTAGAATAACATCTTTGAAATGGGGCCCACATTTGGACATCTAATAAGAGATGCTACCACATTTGGACCAGTTCCACTCATTGTTTTTTGTTGGATGATTAGATGTTTCTTTTTTTGAATGAAATGTCACCCTCTGATATCCTCCTTCTTATATTTGCAATTAGGACAAAATAGGACGACCCGAATCCGTCCCGATTTATTTCAATCCCGAATTTTATGGGACAAACCGGGATAAGATTGTAATCCGAACTGTCCCAGACCGTTTATATATAACGAGACAAGACGTGGGACAACCTAAAATCCGGACCGTCTCGATCCGTACCCACCCCTAGCAAAATTAAAAGATTGAATATATATATTAAAATAGGAGTTTCATGTTTTTATTTTTGAAATAGAAGTTAAAATGCATATACAGTATCAATCATGATCATATACATTACCAAAAGCTCTTGTGAAAGATCCATACAGTGTGTTACATTACCATAATGCAAACTTCTATTCGAAAGATTAAAATATGGAGTTCTTATTTTTTACATTCTCTCTGTTTTACTCACATTTAGGATGATTTCATAAAAAAGTTTTCTATAATTTGATTTGTTTCTCAATTTCATACGTACTTTGATTTCAATTTATGAAAGTTATATTCAATTATAATGTAAAACTAATGAAGAGTATAATTGAAATAATTTTAAGATTTAGTTTTAATTTGGTTTATCAAAATCTTATAAAATTTTACAATATAAAATTGTACTCCGTATTCATTAGTGGTCGGAGTATATAAAAGGTTGACTAAAAAAACAAAATATAAAAATGTTTTTTTGAGACGGATAAGACACATACTTCCTCCGTCCCTGAAAACATGGAAGATTTTGATTTTAAAAAAATTTAAGAGGAGTGTATTTTCTTTTTGAATTTCTAAAAATATCCTTGCATGTGATGTGCAAGAATAGGATTTGATCTGTAGATTAATAGTAAATAGATGTTATGTGATAGGTAGGTTAAGAATTAGTAGGGGTAAAAGTGATATTTTAGCAGAAATGAGAAAAGTGTTTTGGAACGGATGAAAAAAGAAAAAAAAGGTTTTCAGGAAAGGAGTATAAAGCAAGAGTATAAAGCAAGAGTTATTATGAGCCGACATGAAAATCTTTTATTTTTTAAAAAGGCACAATCAATCTATGGTATTTGATGGATATCGGGTCTGGTAGACCCGAATCCAGGCCCAAATAAAGGCCTGTAATAACCCAAAAGGTGTAAAGACAGATGGAGATAATGGGCCGAGCCCATTAGTGCGCATATGACAGCTAGAGAAAGACGGCCCAGTCATGGGATAAATTAAGGTGACCCAATCCGAGAAGGGAGTGGGACCCGTGGCCCACGTCATTGGGTCATAGACGGAGTGGGAAGAGATCGAGATCGGAAAAGAGGGAATCACAACCCCATGATCTCCATAATCCTTTCCATTTTGTATTATATTATTAGAGAGACTATAAAAAGGGAGAGAACTCGCCATTGTAAAGCATGAGACAATTCAATACTCAATAAAAGAATATTATCAAGTGGTTATATCTTCTTGATTCATATTACGTTCTTGGTCTGCCATCTGATCGGGTTAATCCCATCATTGGTGCTCTCATTGAGAGAAATACTGTGAGATAAGGCTGTGAGATTATGGCCGAACGAAGGACGAGACGTAACCCTGCTGCTTCCGCCCAGTCGACGGTGAGGAGTGACAACTCTGAACAGGGTATGATCGTTCCTGTCAATGGGTTGGAAACGGCACTAAATAATGTGGCTAACATGATGGCCAACATTATGGAGCGATTGGATAAGGCTCTTCCAGGTCCATGCGGTACCCGGGACATCCCTGCCGGGCAACCCCGCCAGGTCCTGCGTACTGCGAGTTCTCCTATCCTCCAGGAGCTCCATGATCCGGAGGAAGTTGAAAGGGAGAGGCAAGCCATTGACAGACGCCGGGCGGAGGAATTGGCCCGGAATAACAAGGTGAATGAAGGCCGGGCTAAGGATGCAAGCCGGATCTTCGGCGATGGGAACGAGAACCCGCAGGCATCTGTCTTTGAAAGGATATCTCGCCAGAAAGCTCACGTTAGTGAGAGGCTGGGGAAGAACCCGGAAAAGGCACCCCAGGGTTGGATACGACCCCAGGCCAGCCAGGTGGCCTCTTCCAATCGCGAACCCCGGCAGCAAAACGGCCGTGGCGCGAGCCAAGTGCTGGTCCGGTCATTGAGGAATCTGGAGGAGGACGAGGTTCAAAGCCAAGCCAGGGTCCCAGCACCACGGCGTCTGGGCCGCCGGTGCCGGAAGCTGGTGAATTCCAAGATCTAAGGCAGCAGATCCAGGAGATGCAGAGGAAGATAAACAAGGGTCGAGTATTCACTACCCGTACGAATACTCCCTTAGCCCAGGAGATCTTTGCGGAACCATATCCGCAGGGATTCAAAATGTCGTTTGTTAAGCGTTATGATGGGGAGTCAGACCTCCAGGAACACATAAACAGTTATGTCCAAGTGATGATTGCCGTAGACGCCAGGGACGCACTCATGTGCCGGTGCTTCTTGCAGACAGTTGACAGCAAGGTCGCGGATTGGGTCAACCATATCCCTGCCAGATCGATCCGGACATGGGATGAATTGGGACTACGGTTCCTAGAGCATTTCGCCGCGAACTGCCTTCCCAAAAAGCATTTCACTCACTTGGCTTCGGTGCGATAGAAGCATGGAGAATCCTTGAAGAATTTCCTTATCCGATGGAGGAAAGAGTCCAGGGAGGTTGAAGGAACTGATGATAAATCCAGGTTGGCTATGTTCATAGCGGCATTACAGGATGGACTCCTTCACACCGATCTTACTACTCATCCCCCAGATACCTTCGAAGAAGCAATGGTCCGGGCGGGGAGGTATGTGACCCTGGAAGAAAGGAAGGAGGAGAAGAAAGAGAAGACTCCTAAAGAAGAAGAGAAGACGGGAAATAAGAAGCCGTTCAAGAATAAGAAGCAGGGCTTCCCAGATGGCCCAAAGGGCGCAAGTACTGGGACCTCGGAGAAGCATAAATCTACCAATCCAGTCTTCACATTGCCTGTGGCTGAGGTCATGGCCCACGCTGCACAGCAGGGACTCATGGCTTACCCAACCTATTCTCAGAAGGTCTGCAATGTGGAAGGCACTGGAAAATGGTGTGCTTACCATCGCAAGAATGATCACAACACGGAAGATTGCTATACTCTGAAGAATGAGATGGCAAGGCTAATCCGCCGGGGTTATCTAAAGAAATTCGTGCAAGATGGTGATGTGGGAAATCCCGGGAATGCTCAGAATGGAAAGCGCAGAGATAAAGAAGTGGCCCAGGCTGAGGCCCGGGAGAAACGCCACATTGGGCTTGAAGACGAAGAGGAGGATTCGGAACCCGCACCGCATCGCCAGAAGAGACACCACGGGTGTAACTTCATCATTGGAGGAAATACTGGCGGAGACTCAGCCACAAGCCGGAAGAAGTGGGCTAACGCGGCGATGGTCAACAAGGTGCTGGTCATAGAAGGTAAGAAGCTGAAAACCAAGCCAATTGTATTTTCTAATGCTAATCTCCCAGAAACAGGGGTCCCCCATAGGGATGCCCTAGTGATTACTATTGATATAATGGACTTACTGATCCACAAAACCCTTGTGGATACGGGAAGCTTCGTTAATATCATGTATATGGATACGTACAAGGCTCTTGGTTTGACAAGGGATGAATTATCACCCATCAAGACTCCACTAACCGGGTTCACCGGTGACTCTATTGAACCGGAGGGGGTGATAACCCTCCCGGTTGAGATAGGGGATACTAAGGCTACCCGGAAGTTGGACATGGAGTTTGTTGTGGTGGGGATAATCTCCAACACAAACATTATCCTGGGCAGACCCGGATTGGAAGATTTGGAGTGTGTCATCTCGCCTCGTCACCTGTGCATAAAATTCCCAACCCCCCACGGAGTTGGAATTTCCAGGGGATCTCAGAGAGTGTCCCAGGCATGGTATTTGAAGGCAACCAAACAGCCGGTCAAGTACGATACCCAAGTGGGAGAGGTGACTGCGCAGCTCCTGAGGGCTGAGAAAAACGTCCCAGAGTAGAAGTTGCTGGCGACATTGAAGAAGTGGAATTGGAGCCAGGCACGCCGGGAAGGTTGGTCAGGATTGGCAAGGGCTTGGGGGCTGAACTCAGATCACGAGTGATTTCAGTCCTTAGAAGGTTCAGGAGGGTCTTTGCAGGGAGTCCAGCTGATATGCCAGGGCTGGATCACAAGATTGCAGTTCATCGCCTAAATGTCCTGCGGGATGCTAAACCAGTGAAGCAGAAACGGAGGCATTTGTCGCAGGAAAGAAGAGATTTCGTGAAGAAGGAGGTAGCAAGCATCGGGCACATCCGGGAGGTACAGTACCCGGATTGATTGGAAAATGTAGTACTGGCGCCTAAGCCCCCTTCGTGGAGGATGTGCGTCGACTACACAGACTTGAACAAGGCATGTCCCATGGATCCGTTTCCTCTCCCCAACATTGATCAGATGGTGGATGAGACTGCCGGGTCAGAGTTAATGAGCTTCATGGACGCTTTCAGTGGCTACCATCAGATTCGGATGCATCCGGCCGATGCTGAAAAGACAAGTTTTATGACCCCAAAAAGGCTGTACTGTTACTTGGTGATGGCCTTTGGGCTGAGAAATTCCGGGGCAACATATACCCGGATGGTTTCTCAGGTGTTCAAGGCTGTCTTAGGGCGGACCATGGAAGCATATGTTGATGATATGATTGTCAAGTCCAAAGAGGCCTGAGACCATGTCCGGGACCTTGAGGAGGTCTTTGAAATCATGGTCAAAGTAAATCTGAGAATGAACCCGAAGAAATGTACTTTTGCTGTTCAGGGTGGGAAATTCCTTGGGCACATGGTTAGCCGGAAAGGAATTGAGGCAAACCCGGAGAAAGTAAGAGCCATTATGGAGATGGAACCCTCGAAGACAGCAAAGGAAGTTCAGTGGCTAACAGGGAGATTGGCGGCCTTGAATCGTTTCCTTTCAAAGCTGGCAGAGAAGGCGCACCCATTCTTTGCGGTGATCAAGAAGAGAGCGGCCTTCCAATGGGCACAGGAATGCCAAGAAGCATTCGAAGAACTAAAGAGATATCTCTCAAGCCCACCGGTTTTGTCTAAACCGGAACTTGGAGATGTTTTGACTCTATACTTGGCAATTGCAGATTGTGCTATAAGTACTGTGATCGTAAGGGAAGAGCACGGGGCCCAACATCCGGTCTACTACATCAGCAAAACCCTGAGAGATGCGGAGTTAAGGTATTCCCGTCCGGAAAAAGCCATGTTGGCGGTCTTCTGGACAGCGAAGAGATTAACTCCGTACTTTCAGGCTCACCGGATTGTTGTGCTCACGAATGAGCCTTTGGCGTCACATACCCGAAGCCCCGCGGCATCTGCCCGGATGACCAAGTGGGCAGTCTTCATCAGTCAGTATAACGTGGAGTTCAGGCCGCGCCCATCCATCAAGGGGCAAGCACTCGCCGACTTTCAAGTTGAGTGCACCGCTAGAGAAATGACAAGAGCCCAGGTTGAAACCCAGGTGGAAAAGGACTGGTGGGTAATGAGCATTGATGGATCTTTTGGGTCTCGATCTTGCGGAGCAGGGATCGTCTTGATCACCCCAGAAAAATTCCGGATTTATTACGCCATCAGATTTCAGTTCCGCGTATCTAACAATGAAGCTGAATATGAGGCCCTAATCAACGGATTGAAGATTCTTAGTAAGATGGGAGTGTCCAGGGGTCAGGTTTACAGCGACTCCCGATTAGTGGTGGGACAAATCACAGGGGAGTTTGAAGCAAAGGAAGAAAGGATGAAGAGGTATCAGGACTTGTCTTTAGAGATGTTGGAGAGGTTTGAGTTTAAGCTTGAACATATACCCCGGGCCCAGAACGCAGAGGCCGATGTTCTATCCAAGCTTAGCGCAGAGTCACCGGAATACATAAGCAAATTAGCAACCGTCGAGGAACTGGTAACCCCGAGTCTTAACAGCAATAAGGTGATCTGGGTATCAGCTGATCCCCCGGAATGGCTGGACGGGTTGGCCAAATACATTGAGGACGGTGAAGCCCCGGAAAATCCCGAAGAAGCACGTCTGTTGCGAATGAGGGCACCTACCTACAAGGTACAGGATGGAGTCCTCTATAAGCGATCTTACAACGGTGTTTTACTCCGTTGCCTCAGGGCAGCAGAGGAAAAGGCACTAATGGAAGAAATACATGAAGGAGTATGTGCTGCACATCAGGGTCCTTACTCCATTTCCAGAAGGGCTATTATCCAGGGATACTTCTGGCCAATGATGAGGAAGGATTGCGAAGAGTATGTACGCAAGTACCCGACCTGCCAACAATTCCAGAATATACCCGGGAGGCCAGCCACAAATTACACGCCCATCAGCTCTGTGATTCCCTTCTCAAGATGGGGGATTGATATTGTGGGAGCCCTGCCGAAAGGAGCTGGGCAGGCAAGGTGGATTGTGGTGGCGATAGACTATTTCACGAAGTGGGTAGAAGCTGAGCCACTTGCCGGGATTACCGGAAGGCAGATGATCGACTTCGTCGGAATGAATATACTCTGCAGGTTTGGGGTCCCGAGACAGATCATATCTGACAATGGAACCCAGTTTGAGGAAGCAGAGTTTCAAGACTTCCTCAAAACTTGGGGAATTCAGCACACAAAGGTGTCTGTTGCGTACCCTCAGGCTAATGGACAAGTGGAGAACGTCAACAGAACAATCATAGACGGAATAAAGAAGAAGCTACTTTCAGAAGGAAGCAAATGGGTAGATGAACTACCCAGAATCCTGTGGACATATAGGACGACTCCAAGGAGAGCCACGGGTGACACTCCTTTCGGCTTAGCTTATGGTTTTGAAGCCCGGGCTCCCGCTGAGGTAGTAATCCCCACCAGGAGAGAAATGGAATATGACCCGGAGGTGAACGAACAGAATCAGGCCGTAGAGCTGAATTTCGTAGAAGAACGAAGGGATGAAGCACAGATCCGGGCAGAGAATTATCGTCGCCAGGTGAAATCTTACTTTGATAGCAAGGTGAAACCAAGGGCGTTCCAGGTGGGGGATTACGTTCTGAGGAAACGAGAGAAAAGTCAACCAACTAAGGGTGGGAAACTGGCTAAGAAGTATGAAGGACCTTATATCATCAAGGCCGTTGTTCGCCCAGGTACCTACAAGTTGGTGACTCCCAAGGGGAAAGAAATTGATAGGACATGGAATGTACAGCACTTGGTCAAATTTTATCAGTGAAATCATTTTGTAAAAACGCTCTATTTTTAATTTAAGATGTTTGTTTCAGTAAAATTTTTCTTTTCTTTTAAAGCCCAGTGCCTTTGCAATTTCATTGTTCTATAGATTTCTTTAAAAATAAAAAAAAAGGGGGGGGGGAAGCACCCCCGGGCGATATAGACCCGCATTACAGGGAGGTAGATAAGTTTATGCCCCCCGGAGGTAGAGAAGTTTATGCCTCCGTCGAAAATGAAGGAAGGGTTGGGATTGGACTTTGAGGGCCATTACAACCTGGAATTCAGGAAGAATAGCAAGCAGACTTCGAGGGCTGAAGCTTAGTATTCCACTAACATAGATCAACCGAGCAAACAAACTTCGAGGGTTGGAGCTCTACTGATCCAAGGTAGATAAGATTATGCCTTAACCCGGAGGAAGGGGAGGCCAGGGGCAGATGAGATAAGTGCCCCTGGCATGCCCAAACCCCGGGAGATGAGATTTTATATAGAAAATGAATTATGTACTTGCATTCGAAGAGGTGCAAAGAAATGACTATTAAGGACCATATTAATGGGCCAAAGTTTACATTTTTTGGTTCACAATAAAGGTTCCTAGTAAAATAAACAAGAAAAGAAATTAAGGGAGTTCATCGATTGCTAATTCGGAGGTTATATCTTTGAATTACAGCGATGATTCCTACTTTGAAATTAAGGAACATTCCTTAGTTTGGATGCAGGGAAGATCCCTGGACCAAACAAGTGAATGCCCCTTGATACAAAACAAAGAAGAGAAGTTTGATTTGCCGGAGGCTATGAACTGAAGGAGGGCCTATTGCATCCATGCAGTCAACAAGAAGGAGGTGGGGGACCCTTCCATGGGCTCCTTCTCTTTGACGAGGGACACGTTGATGAATCAGCGGTTTCCCATATGTCATAGTCTTCCCATGTCCCAGGACGGGGAGCTGCTCCCTTCAATGAAGAACCATTGTTGGAAGACTTCAGCAGGTGTGGGGAAGCAGTTCGGCTTTCACATGAAGGTTCCGCCTCGACAATTGGCAAAGAGCGTCCGAGTTTAGCCCTGCACATCCTCTAGTACAAGACGAAGTCTTGGAGGGTCATAGAGTCTCAGTCTATCCTCCCGGATGGAAGCATGGGTGGACTAGGAGGGGATGGTGCAGGAAGGCGAGGCGCCGGGTAGAGTCTTGAGAACTCGCCAGGACTCAACCCGGCCATGTCGTTGGATTGGGCTGGAGAGACGGAGAAATCATCATCCGAAGAAGAAGATGTCCCAGAGAGGGTTAAGTCGATGACGACTTTACTCTCAAACTTACTTGCCATGGCGGAGAGGTCAGAAAGGGATGGACTGGCAGCTAATTATCCTTTCCCATTTATAGTCAAAGGGGAAGGGATAGTTGGGAAGTGATGAATGCGGTTGGAAGACGTGAAAGACTAAGCGATTGGTGAAGGAAGCGGTCGAAGATTTCCCATGTTTGACTAGGGGTTTCTCGCCACTTAAGTGCATGGGCTAGTTAATTGGGCCCATCTGTGCTTGGGAAAAGACGTCATCCTTGGAAGGTAAGGAGCTAAATAAACTTAGACTTCTACTCCATGCAGATGACGCCACGTGAAATAAAATTATATTAAAAGACAGGAGATAAAGGTTTTTCTATTAAATAGCTCAAACAGAAGATTACATTCTTTTGGGTTATAATGGGCCTTATCCCTGATCAAACAACAAAACAAAAAAGAGACGGGAGATAAAGACTTTCATTAAATAACTCAAATGGAAGGTTACATTCTTTTTTGTTACAGTAATGAACTTTGTCCCTGATATACTTCTATCCTACCACTGGAAAAAGTTGAAGGCAAGGCGGATTGGCACTTCCGAAATCTGGAGGAGTGCGTTCCAGAAAAGAACCCCATAGCAGGGAGGTCTGGAGAGTGTCCGCCGAAGACACTTCATGACATTCACAAGAAGCGGAATGGTACCAACGGGTTGGGGATTAAAAGTCATCCTCGTGGATACCATCCAGTCATTCCCATGAAGGCGGACAGAGAGGGAGCTAGGGCATGAGGGAAGGACTCCAGGCCTATCTCCGCTTATACGGGAGGAGGAGGCGGATCCTGGAAGGTCCCATCCTTTTCCCTGCGTATAAATGGGAGCCTGTTTCCCCCCACTCCTCAGGTTATATAAAATGAGTGTGGATCTTATGACCACCGAAGAATTATGGCAAAAAATAGAGTAAAATGAATGAAGGCTTACTCGAAGTGAGACGTTTTACTTTTCACCTCACAAAATGAAAGTCGAACTTCTCACGTGTCTTGACTCTAAAGAAAAATTTTAAAAATATGTGGCTCACAATAGAGCTTAAAATCTGAAATGAAATTGTTTGGAGAAAAAGTGATTTGCAGAAACAGTAGTAGTTGGTGGTGAGGGGTGGTCGATGATTGAGGCGAAATTAATCTCTCATATTTTTAATCAATCATACTCTCCCATGTTGATATTTTTCCAATTCGAGAGTTTTTGTGATAGTTGTAGATATATTGTTTTTTTGCTAAATACTAAACAAATTTAAATATCAAAAGATTAAAACTAATAGATATTACTTTGTAATAGATTCATTAACGTTTAAAAGAAGAGATAATAACTAATATTTCCAGCTCATGAAACGGGCTCTTGTCGATCTCCTAGTGCAAGGCTTTCCAAAAATATGTATAGATTTTTTACCCGATAGTTATGGGCCTCGATCACTATCGGAAGTCAAGATTATATACTGCATTAAACACAGGCAAGGGCCTTTGTGGGCCAACTACTTATTTACGATATTGTAGGTAGTGTCCATTGTCAGGTTCATATACTCCGTCCAATGCAAAGTCCAACATGGCTAGAAGCCATTACTAATGAAAATATGAATTTGCTTGTTTTGACATTAGAGTCAAAGATCATAATGATACAAAAAATAGTTTTATTATATTTATTATATAAAATATTTTCCAAATATTATTTTATCTAATTAAAATACAATATACTACATATTTTTTATTTAATTATAGATCAAAGATTGAAAACGGTTGACTGATAAAAGTCTAAACTGGACAAATACTCCGCAATGAAGGTATTTATATTTGATTTTTAGTTTTTAGTTTTTAATTTTAAATTTTAGATTTTTAATTTGTAATATTTAATTTTTAGTTTTTAGTTTTTAATTCTAATTTAAAATTTTAAATATTAGTTTTAAGATTTACTTAAAATTTATAAAAATTTAATTTTCAATTTTCAATTTTAAAATTTTAAATTTTAAATTTGTTTTTAATTTTAAACCTTATATCTTTGAATAGTCAAAGTAGCCAAAGTTAGTCAAAAACTAAAAGTCATCCGAAAAACTATGTTGTAAACACATTCAGTCATCCGAAAGTTGCATCTGGCACTAAGGCAGAAGTTATATATATGAAGCTAGTACTCCATTTAGTTTTTAGCGTGTACGTAAAAAAACTACATTTGGAGGGTTGATGAATACTTAAGGACTACATTTAAGAAAGATTTTAGGTACAGAACGAGTACATTTTTTAAGTAGTGCTTTAAAAAATTGACCAAGAAAATCAAACCCGAAAGTATCAAAGAGGACGAAGGTAGTATGGAGTAAAAATGTTTTAATTTGGTTCGATGTTGAAGGTAGTATGGAGTATATACTTCCTCCGTCCCGGAGTATTTATTTACTTTTGACTTTTTTTGGTCAAAATTGGTAAACTTTAACTTCAAATTAAATAAAAATGCTATTATATATTGATACAAAAGTAGTTTTATTATATTTATTATATAAAATATTTTAAAATATTATTTTATCTAATTAATATACAATATACTCCCTTCGTCCCCCTATATTTGTCCACATTTGATTTTTGGAACGGTTCATCTAAGAACTTTGACTAATCACATTCTCTCAATGTGTAAGCCTAAATATAGTCATGTGTGATCTTGTTTGATTTGTCTTAACATATAGATTATTAATATATAATTTTTATAATTATTTAATATACAAATTACAAGATAAAATGGATTAAAGAAGAGCATTGGATGGTGTGTAAAGATGAAAGTGGACAAATACAGGGGGACGGAGGGAGTATATTTTATTTAATTTTACATCAAAGATCGAAAACAGTTTATTCAAAAAACTAAAACCTGGACAAATACTCTGGACAAAGATTACTCTGAATTTATCCCTTTCGAGAGTTGCAGTACACTCCGTACCCGAATACTAGAGGGACCCAAGCTACTGGATCGTGTTCATGGTTTTTACTTTTTACTCTAAAATACTACTTCCGTCCTCGAGTAATTGTTCACTTTTAATTTTCCGAATTTAAAATTAACAAATTTTGACCATGAGCGAAATCAAATTGATAATAGATAAAAGTCGAATTAAATTTATCTTATCAAATATTTAAGCTTGTAGTTGTGACTGGGAAATGTTAACAAGGTTTGTGCAAGAAACCTTAGCTTAATTTTTTTAAAATTAAAAAAAAACTAGGTGATAATGAGATTTAAATTCATGACTTTTTGGTTAATAAGGTTTCGTTAAAAATGTCACAGAACTAACTTGATCAAAAGCTCAAGACTATAGTTGTAGTTGTGGATAGATTAAATGTTGATAAACGATAGAAGTATATTCTACTTTGTACAATACAAGTACTAGAAATTACGGAGCGATTAAAAAGTGTACCTGGTGCTCGTAAAGGGACACCGGAAATTACGGAATATTATTTGTATTTAAGTATAGGTCAAATATTGATACTAATTGACTATAAAAAGTCAAAATTTGGCAAAGAGAGAGTGAGTATATTCTAAAAAGGTGGAACCCGCACCGACACCCCAATTCGATAGGATTGTGAGGGGGTAAATAATCGTATAATCTCAATTAAGTCTGTAGAGAAGTCGCTTTGTTCTTGATGGGTATATCCCTATACCCAACCCGGACAACTGAAAGGGACAGGTCAAAGTATGACCGGTCACTTTTATCAATCACCAAATGAGGTTAACTCTTCGATTTGGACAGGTCAAAAGTTGACCGGTCACTTCCACTAAAAAAGTGACCGGTCACATTTTGGGCGATAGCGAAAATATCACCTTATTCTACGAAGGACATTCTAGAAGACCAAAGAGACGGGTTGAGCGCAAGAAATGACCGGGTAACCTTTCAGAGAAGGTGACAGGTCATATCACTTTACTTGGCTAACATTGGTCCAGTCTCTTAGGCATGGTGAACCACATCAGAGGTCAAGGGGACACCCCGCCGCTCATCCATCACGAGGCACACAGTGAAAGGGATGTTTGTCATTTTGCAGGGTTGATTGGATTGAGAATATCCATTTTAGTCTTTGATTGAACAATGCTTTTTGGTTGTATTAGTAGCAAGTCCATGATTGCACAGTGCTTCCATTATCTACAGTGACCTTCCCACGAGCTTCCTATTTTGTCCATGGATGAACAGGGGAAGGTCACAAATCCTCCTCTATAAATATGATGATATTGGATAGAGGAGGGGATCAATTCTTTCTCTCACTAAAAACTAGTACACTCTTGAGACAGAGTAAGAAATATATTTCGGACTGAGGAGATTTACCCGGTCTAGGTCATACTTTGTGTTCTTGTTGTGTGTTTTATATTACGGGTCAAGTGTCCAGGTCGAACCCGGTCAACCCACCCATCTATATTTACACCATCATTTTTGGCGCCCACCGTGGGGCCCGAACCCACGACCACCAATCATGAGTTCAATGGTACCCCCGGTGTCGACCCCGTCGACATTCGTCCCTAGGATGGTCCCTATACGTCCGGTGAATTTGACGGGGACCATGAACGAAGCAGCACCATCGAATATCCATGAAGTTGACGAGGCGGAGCAAGAGGCAGCCCGCAGAAGGAAGGGTAAGGCTATAGCCAAACCCAGCAAGACCCGAGATTCGGCGTTCATACGCCTAGGGGACAAAGAGGATAGACCTTGCAAGTCTGCAAAGCTACGTCTTGGTCCTGAAACGGGCCAGACTAGTGAAATGGAAAGACTTGGCGGGAATCATCCCGCCCAATCTCGTTGTTCTAGGGAATCTGAGACGATTCACCTAGACGAGGAGGAAGCTGAAAGCCAGCCTAGGGCATCGACATATACCGGGCTCTCATACGATGAGGATGACCTAGACAAGATAGGGAGCGTAGCAAGAAAGCTACGTGCCCTGGAAGAAAAGGTGGAAGAAAAGGTGGGAACGAAAAAGCACACCCTAGCCAAATCTCCCTTTTCGGCCAGGGTACATGCACAAAAATTGAGGCGGAAGGTCAAGTTGGACGTGATCCAAATGTCCACCTTGACACCTTCCACAATGCAGCACAGATGGCCGGGTGCACTAATGCTGAGGAGTGCTTGCTCTTCTTCTCATCCTTGAGAGGGAGACCAGTGGAATGGTTTAACGGCCTTCCCCATGGAAAGATTGGGTCCTTTGAGAAACTTGCCGAAGTATGGATGCGAGAAGTACCAGGACAACTACATGAAAAGAAAGAAGTTCACCTACCTAAACACAGTAGGACAAAGGGAGAAGGAGTCCTTGACTCAATTCTTGACGCGCTGGAGGGATGAGGTCGATAAAGTAGAAGAGATGGACGATAAGACGGCCATGTCTTTGCTGATGAATGCCTTCCGGTCGGGTGACCTCTACACCGAATTTTGTAGAAGGCCACCCTCCTCTTATCAGGAAGCCTATAATACAGCATGGGAGTATGCCGAGGCGGAGGTCCTGAATAAGAGCAAGCAGGAGCTGGAGGAAGGCTATACAAAAGTGAAAGCCGAGAAGCCGAAGAAGGATGACCAGACAGGAGGGTCTAAGCCAAGGGCCACATATGACGGGTCAGTCCACCAAATTAGGGATGAGAGGAAGGGAGAACAACACTAGCGGCCTTGGACAAATAAGTGGTGCACCTACCACCAATCCGACTCTCACAAC